GAACACGCCGTCATCCATCAATCAGGCCATCTCCAGGGCCGTGGAAGGGGGGTTGTATCGCCTGAGACGCTCACTGGGGGGTGTAGCGAACAGCCGCGGGAAAGGGAAGAGCTCGGGATTGCACCGCAGGAGACAGCCCGGTGCACTGGTAGGGTGCAGCTAACAGCCGCAGGAGTGTGGGAAGAGATGTATTCGCCTGAGACATACTGGGTGACCAGCCCAGGCCCTCTGGGCAAGCAGCCTCAGGGCGGGGGGTTCGCCGCCTGAGACCTGCAGCCCAGCCCAGGCACGCCGGGCGAGCAACCTCAGGGCGATGGGCGATGGCACCATATGAGAATGCGGCTTCTCTGGTAGGGTGCAGCTAACAGCCGCGGGATGTGGAAAAAAATAATTTGCCTGAGACAAACTGGAAGTTGGACTCGGAGCGGCAGTCGGGGGGGTAGCCGATTGCCGGCACGGGAAGAGCGTAAGCGTAGAACACGCCGTCACCCATCAATCAGGCCCTCACCCGGGCCGTGTAACGGGGGTTGTAAGCGCAGAACACGCCGTCATCCATCAATCTGGCCACCTCCAGGGCTGTGGAAGGGGGTTGTATCGCCTGAGACCTGCAGCACACTGGGGGGTGTAGATTTTAGCAAACGCTGCAAGATGCTGGTCATGGACGAAAGCTTCGCCCGGCGGGGTTGCAGCTAACAGCCGCAAGAATAGGAAAGAAGGTTTCACCTGAGACATCCCCATCGGTCGGAGGGTGTATAGCCGCAGAGCGAAGGGGGGTAGCTTCGCCGGCGGTGTGCTGACTATCTGGTAGGGCGCAGCAGACAGCCGCGGACTGCAACGCACAGGCAACGTAGGAGACTGCCCAGTGCTCTGGTAGGGTGCAGCTAACAACCGCAGGAAGGGGGGAAAAACCGCTTTCGCCGGAGACATGCTGGTGATCTGCCTGGGAGCGGCAAACGGGGGGGTCGCCGAGTGCCGTCCCGAAACACTGGAAGCAAGGTGGGGAAAGATGGAGTTGTGACACTGGCCACGCCCAAGAAGGTCGACGTGCCGCTGATGCCACTCGCACTGGCCGTCGAAGACCACGCCCCAGACGGCGTGGTACGGAGAGAACTGTCGAACTGGCACCGTCATGCCACTGCTCTCCTTGTGCTGGCCGGACGGGGCTGCTCGACGGTGTCGCACATGAAGTCGTACTGCTCGACGTTGCGCTGACCGACTCGACAACGCCCGTGCTAGAGCACGATGCCGACGTGGAGCTCGCCGTGGAGGTGGCCGTGAGCGTTGCACTGTCCGAGACCGTACTGGTCGTGACCATGCAGCTCGAGGTCGCTCTGTTGGTCATCCGAGACGTACTGTGATACAACGAGCACTGGGAGTCAAGCTGCGGACATGGCAGTTGTGCTGCTGACCCCGCTCGAGCTAACCGTCGTGCTGCTGGTGCCGCTCGAACGGGCCGTCGGAGAACGCGCCTCGGTCACCTTGTTACTAGAACCTGCAGTATCCGTCAGCGACGTGCCACTGCCCACCGTAGTGCTGGCGCGACGTAGAGCGGTATAACTGTGTTGCGCTCGTAACCGTACTACTCGAGGTTGCGCAGCTCGTTTCGACCCCGCACGCGTTGCTGCTGAATGAGGACGCGGAGCCCACCGTGGAAGTGGCCGTGGGCGCCACTCTGCTCGAAACCGTACTGGTCTCGACCGTGCTGCCTGGGGTCGCACCGAGGTCACGCGTGACGTACTGCTGGACAACGGGGCACTGGAAGTCCAGGTGGTGAACTACGCAGTTGTGCAGCTGGCCACGCTCGAGTTAGCCATCATGCTGCTGGAGCCGCCCGTACATGCCGTCGGAGGAGTCGCCTCGGTCACCGTGGTACCGAATGACCCTGACGTGTCCGTCAGCGTCGTGTCGCGGCACACCAAGGTGCTGACCAGCGTGGTTCTGCTCGATATTGTCGCAATCGGGGTCGTGCAGCTCGCAGCTGCGCTGCTCGTCGCGACCACGCTCGCGCGGCTGCTCATGTAGCCGTGAAAGTGGCCGTGGACGTCGCGCTACACAAGATCGTACTGGTCGCGACCGTGCTGCACGAGGTCGCACTGCTGGTCAGCTGAGGCGTACTGCGAGACAACAGTGCACTGGGAGTCGAGGTGGTGGACGATGCAGTTGTGTTGCAGGTCGCGCACGGGCTAGTCGTCGTGCCGCTGGTGCTGCTCGGGTAGGCCGACGACCCCTGGTGCCGCTCGTGCTAACCGTCGAAGACCCGTCCTGGCTAGCGCGGTATGAATGACTTTGTCGTCTCCGTCGGCATCGTGCCACTGCTCACCGTGGTGCTAGCCGGGCGGTACTGCTCGGCTGTGTCGCACTCGAAGTCGTACTGCTCGACGTTGCGCTATCCACCTCTTCCAAGCTCACGCTGCGGCTCGATAGCGACGTGGGGCTCACCGTGGAAGTGGCCGTGGACGTCCCAATGGACGAGACCGTACTGGACGTGACCGTGCAGCTCGAGGTCGCTCTGCTGGTCATGTGATACGTACTGCCAGACAACGATGCACTGGAGGTCAGGCTGCGGACAACGCAGTTGTCTTGCTGGATGCGCTCGAACACGCCGCCGTGCTGCTGGTGCCGCTCGTACTGGCCATAGTGGAGCGCGTCTCGTTCAGCGTGGGATTGAGTGACCCTGCCGTATCCGTCAGCGTCGTGCCGCTGTACACCGTAGTGCTGGCCGGCGTGGTGCTGCTCGACTGTGTCGCACTTGACCCGCACTGTTCGACGTTGCCCTGCACGTCTCGACTCCGCTCACGCTGCTGCTGCGTGCCCACGTGGAGCCGCCGTGAAGGTGGCTGTGGATGTCCATGCGAGGCCGTACGGACCGTGACCGTGTTGCTCGATGTGCTGCCGGTCACGGTTGAGTGATGACCAGCCCAGGCCCGCTTGGCAAGCAGCCTCCGGGCAGGGGGGTGCGCCGCCTGAGACCATCAGCTCACTGGGGGGGTCGGAGCGTCGGAGAATGCTGCGTGCTCTGGTGGGGTGCAGCTAGCACCCGCAGAAAGATTGGGAAAGGGTTCGCCTGAGACATATTGCTGCGCTGGCATTGGGCACCTGAGTTACCACGCTGCTCAGTTCGAATCCAAACGTCAGCCGCAGGACGGAGGGGGGCCACTCCGCCTGCAGTGTGCCGGTTCTCTGGTGGGGTGCAGCTGACAGCCGCAGAAAGATTGGAATTCAGTTTCCTTGAGACGTGTTGCTGCACTGGCATTGGGCAACCTGGGGCGCCAGGCTACTCAGCCGGACTCCAGATGGCAGCCGCAGGACGGAGGGGGCTCACTCCGCCTGCAGTCTGCCGGTGCTCTGGTAGGGCGCAGCTAACAGCCGCAGAATGATTGGGATGGAATCCGCCTGAGAAATATTGCTGCGCTGGCATGGGGCAGCTGTGCTCAGAGACGCCCCCGCTGTGATCAGGATCGGAGGTGGGCCCCCGATGCGCCCAGAACTGCGCGAAAAGGGCAGTCGCCCGAAACAGACAGGAGGGAGACGCGGAGAGGCAGGCGGGGGGCAGCAATCGGCTGTCCACGAACGGGGGCAGGGAGGGTGGGGATCACACCTCCGTATTACCAGCTCGATATATGTCGGCTACTTCTCTCCAAGGGGTGCGCCTGCCGCCGTAGACCACACGCAGGCCTGCGAACTGCGAAGCGACGTCCGCGGAGAACCACCTTACCTGACGCCTGAGACATACTGGAAGTTGGACTGGGAGCGGCAATCGGGGTGCTAGCCGATTGCCGTCCACAACCAAGAGGGCGGTGGAGAGGCAGCTAACGCTGCAGGATACTGGTTATGAATAAGAGTTTCGCCAGGCTGGTGACGACGCCCAGCGGGATTGCAGCTACCAGCCGCAAGAATAGGAGAGAAGGTTTCACCTGAGACATCCCCTTCGGTCGGAGTGCGAATAGCCGCAGAGCGAAGGGGGGGGTCGCCTGTGGTGTGCTGATTCTCTGGCAGGGTGCTGACGACGCCGTCGACACGGGGGTGGAGGCAGACGGCCGCGCTTTCGACGTCAAGGGCCCGACCTCGCCCGAAAGAACTCCCACCCTACAGCGAGCGGCCAAGGTCGGCGCCCACGAGATCCCGACCATTTCGCGGGGGTGCCTGGCGCCCCCTTCTCGCGCCGACGTGGTGTCCCAGGTGTTGTCCACGCACCTGCGCCCAGTCGATACCCAGGCCCAATGATTCGCTCATGGCCCGAGCATCGCAGCTGTGGCTGCGAAATGAGCTCAGGAAGGCGACGCAGGTTCGCTGGTCGCGCCGACGCGGGTCGAAAGCGCGCGCGGTGCAAGGGGCAGCGCGTTGCTCGGCAAAGGCGTGCCAGACGGCTGTGAACGACGCACCCAGGGTGACCTGAAAGTGCCTGATCGTCTCGTTTGGTGACTCTCCGTGGGGTTCCCACTGGGAGTCGTGGACCCGTGTTTTCTAGAGCGGCCTTCCAGCGTAGGAGGCCCGTGGTCCTGAATGCAGGCGATCGGCGAACAGCCTGGGCATCCACCCACATCCCGTCCAACGAGTCGAGGATGCCCCACCGCTGGGCTGCTGGCCAGTCTCGGCGGTCGAGCACACGTCCCCACCCGAGAGGAGGGGTCTGGCGAGCTTCGCAGGGATGCAGGGGCTGCCCCGTGGCTGCTTGCAGAGGCGCCCGTCCGCATCGAGTCGCTGGCAGGGGAGGGAGGACGAATAGGGGCGCAAGGGCTCCTCGAAACCAGCTGAAGGATGGCTTCGCTGTCCCGCTCGCCAAGAGAAGGCTGACGTGTGGGCGCGGTGGAATTCCCCAGTGCCGTCTGGAGGGTGGCTTCACTGTCGGGTTGGCCGTCGGGCTGGCCGAGGAGCTGGTCGTGGGATTGGGCGTCGGGCAACGCCTCAGGTAGAGTGTTGGGTAGGGCGTCAGGTTAGGCGTCGGGAACGGTGCCGGGTGAGGCGTCAGACTGGTCGTGGGGCTGGTCGCAGAGCTGGCCATGGGACTGGCCTTGGGGCTGGCTGTCGGGCTTGCCGTCGGGCAGGCCTTTCTGCTGGCGGTCGGGCTGGCCGTCGGACTGGTCGCGGGGCTGGCAGTCGGGTTGGCCGTGGGGCAGGCTGAGGGACTGGTCGTGGGGCTGGCAGTCGGGCTGGCCGAGGGGCTGTCGGTCGGGCTGGCTGCGGGGCTGGCCGTGAGGCTGGTCGTGGGGTTGAAAGTCGGGCTGGCCGTCGGGCTGGCCGTAGGCCTGGTCGTGGGGGAGGCCGTGGGGCTGGTCGTGGGGCTGGAAGTCGGGCTGGCCGTGGAACTGGCCGTGGGGTTGGCAGTCGGACTGGCCGTGGGGCTGGTCGTGGAGCTGGCACTCGGGCTGGCCGCGGGGCTGGCCGTGGGGCTGGCAGCCGGGCACGCCCTGGATCTGGCCGCAGGGCTGGCCGCGGGGCTGGCAGTCGGGCTGGCCCCGGGACTGGCCGTCGGGCTGGCCGTCCGGCTGGCCGTGAGGGTGGCCAGGCTGGCCGTCTGGCTGGCGGCGGGGCTGGCAATCGGGCTGGCCGTCGGGCTGGCTGTGGGGCTGGCCGTGGGGCTGGCCGTGGGGATGGCAGTCGGGCTGGCAGTCGGGCCGGCCACGGGGCCGCGGATCTGGCAGCCGGCCAGGCAGCGGGGCTGGCAGTCGGGCTGGCCGCGGGGCTGGTCGCCAGGCTGGCCGTGGGGCTGGCCGTTGGGCTGGCCGTCGGACTGGCCGTGGGGCTGGCAGTCGGGCTGGCCTTTGGGCTGGCCGTGGGGCTGCCAGTCGTGTTGGCCGTGGGGCTGACCGTGGCTGGCCGTGGGGCAGACCGTGCGGCTGGCCGCGGGGCTGGCAGTCGGGCTGGCCTCGGAGCTGGCCGTCGGGCTAGCCGTCTGGCTGGCCGTGGGGCTGGCAGTCGGGCTGGCCGCGGGGCTGGTCGCCAGACTGGCCGCGGGGCTGGCCGTTGGGCTGGCCGTCGGACCGGCCGTGGGGCCAGCAGTTGACTACCTACCCCAACCCAACCCGAAGACCCGAATTTGACCCGAATTTCGGGTTGGGGGGGGTACGGGTTCCATGTGTTTTTTCGACGTTCCCCGACCCCCCCCCCCCACTGGAAATGGAGGGCAAATTGAAGCCTTCGGGTAGGGTTGGGGTGGTCTGGTAGGTGGTGAGCAGTCGGCCTGGCCGCAGGGCTGGCAGTCGGGCTGGCCACGGGGGGCTGGCCGCGGGGCTGCCAGTCGGGTTGGCCGTGGGGCTCGCCGCGGGGCTGGCCGTCGGGCTGGCCGTGGGGCAGGCCGCGGGGCTGGTCGTGGGGCCGGAAGTCGGGCTGGCCACGGGGCTGGCCGTCGGGCCGGCCGCCCGGCTGGCCGCGGGGCTGACCAGGCTGGCCGTGAGACCGGCTGTGGGGCTGGCAGTCGGGCTGGCCGTGGGCCTGGCAGTCGGGCTGGCCGTTGGGCTGGCCGTGGGGTCGGCAGTCGGGTTGGCCGTGGGGTAGGCCGTGGAGCCAGCAGCCAGGCTGCCCGTGGGGCTGGCCGCGGAGCAGGCCGCGGGGCTGGCAGCAAGGCTGGCCACGGGGCCGGCCGTCGGGCTGGCCGTCCGGCTGGCCGCGTGGCTGGCCGGGCTGGCCGTGGGACTGGCCGCGGGGCTGGCATTCGGGCGGGCTGTCGGGCTGGCCGCGGGGCTGGCCGCATAGTGCAGGCCGCGGGGCCCGGGCCGCGGGCATTCGGGCAGCACGGGGGGCCGGCCGCCAGGCTGGCCGCGGGG